TAATATGGATCAATATAAACAAACATGAAAATTCATCACAAGGATTCTTTAGTTTCATCAATTTATTCAACCAAAAGAACACTCAAAAGCCATTCTTGGAAGTGGAAGAAGAGTTTCTAGAAATTTTCCCGAACGAGTGTGTGAAACTCATATCTTTTCCTTTCTTTCTTGCTCATTTCTCTTTCTAAAATCTATCATCTTTCTCTCTCTAAACCTGATAAATTGAATAAGGAAAATGATGAAAAATGAAGAAGGGAAGGGTTTATATAGGGGCAAAAACGGTCGAATTTGTGCCACTGGCGATAATCGGTGAGTTGGATTAAAAAAGTGGGTTGAGGCCCACAAATCAAAATCACCATGGCTAAGCATGGCCTTGGCCGACGGGACAAGTACTCGTTCCTTTGGCTGTGTTGTACGCGTGTACAGGCAGCCATATTGCGCACTGTGCGTAAGTAGGTTGCTTGCCACGCGTAGGTGCAGCTTTGCTGCACATTGTGCGTGCGTACAATTACGTGTAGGGTAGGCGTAGTGCATGCGTAGGGCTTGCACACGCCCACTGGTTGTGGGTCGCGGGTCCAGTTTTCGTGCCATTGATTTTCTTGTCCTTTTTCTCCTAAAATTTTGATTAGTTTGGATATGATTTTTTGAGAAAACTAAATATATAAAACAAACTCAAATTTCCAACGAAAATCTTATATGACCGAAGGCTTGAAATATCAAAATTTTGAAATTCATTAACTGCCAAGAAATCAAGATGTTACAAAAATCGTATAAAAGATTAAGAAATACAATCATTTGATTTGATTTATTCTCGATAGTCATGAAATGATCATCTTAGGATGATCGTTTTTGTCGAATCCAATTTAAATACCTGATATAAGTATATTAAGGTAAATATCCATAATACATATTGTTTTATAAAATTAGAAACATCTACAACATCCATTGTAAAAAAATACGACTCTTTATAAATTTATAAGATAAAAATCCTTCTTGTAATGCTAAATTAAGAGTATGGTTGGAGAGGTCAATGGTTCAACTCCCATTTTTAGCATCTAATTTTTTTTAAGTAAAAAACAAAATAGATGACATTATCATCATCATCATGAGAGAGAAAAGAAGAAAAAAATAATAAAATAAAGGGGCTTTTCTTCGTTTGTAAGAATCGACCATGTATATATTTTTTGTAAGATGTATCTCTCATCTTCTTCTTTTTCTCCCCTTTTTTTCTTCTTCTTTCACGCACACACAGTGCACCTTTTTTTTTCATACATCATAGTGCATCATCCTCTTCCTTTTTTTTTCTTTCAAGCACACACAATGCAACTCTTTTCTCTAGTTTTTTTTTCAGTATACTATATATATATATATATATGCATACATGTATATATCTTCAACATTTTTCTTTCTCTCCCAATTTTTTTTTTTCTTCCTTCATGTAT